GGTCCCCAGCCGTTGTCATCGGTTGTTTTCGTCAACTTTTTTTCTTTCTTTAACAATTTCCTTGCTATCTCTGAAACCAACAAAACAATGAATAAATGTTTTCCTTCATGAACATAGATTTCACATAGTCTGTGTAAATTACTATATACCCAGTACTTAAACTCACAAAGAATTTGTGGTATAATATTTTTTTTTTTTAAAAAGCTAATTATGAAGCAAACACGGATATATAAAATCAAATATACGTGGCTTTTAAATTATAGTTACTCTATTATATATAAATTATTTAATTCTCCAGACTTGAGCACAAAATCCTACCATGATCTCCCACCGCGCTTGCCGCATGCAGAGCAGTTCTACCATTAGGGCCGCCATAGTCCAGTACTGAAATGCAATTAGCAAGGATTTCATCGATCACCTTTTCTTGTTCTTGACCCCAACTGGAAGCAGCAATATAAAGTGGAGTTTCTCCATGAACATTGGCGGAATATGAAAGCTCAGGCCGGTCCTCTTTAGTCAATATTTCCACCACATGGCTCCGCCTATTTCGAGCTGCCTCGTGCAACGCTGTATCTTGCTCTTCATTGGTCATCCCCAACATCTTTTTTGCTTCTGTTACTCCGCTCTCTGGATCAGTAGGTCGAGCTTTTGCGCGGTCAATGAGGACCTTTACCACGTTGGAATGACCATATCTTGCTGCCAAATGGAGTGGGATTTCACCTTTCTTATTGGCTTGGAATAACAGTGGTGGACACTTTTCTAGAATTTTATCAACAAAATAAGTGGATTCCGGCTCCCTACTTTGGTTTCCTAAGTAGACATGAAGAATGGTGTTCTCGTCTGGAGTCAATAACTGATCAAGGCGGGTTTGATAATTCTTAAAGGGACGGAAATGGCCTTCTTCCGCAGCTTTGAACAAGACAGGATCCATATAGGACGTCATACTATTTTGTAGCTTAGAGAAACTCACTAAATGATAGGTGAACAAATGAAGGGGAGGTGAAATTAACCACTGTGGCTCAAAGGCAAGAGGTTCCACTCCTCAACTGATCACAATCTGCTGATTTCTTCGGTATTTAAAGAAAGAAAAGGCGTTAAGAACCACAAATTACATTTATTTTCCTTTTTGATATTTTGTCGCAATATCTTTTCTTTTGCCCTGCCGGAAAGTTATATCTGTTTTTATCAAGATAATAAGAAAATAAAAAATAAATTCTTTGGCTCATGATCCGTCATTATTAGTGAACTTCGACTCGCCTATGTGTATCCACCTCACTTTTGTCACCCAAATACCTTTCTTTCGGTTCCATGTTATGATGGGCACATTACCCACGTCACCTCTCTCTCTCGTACTTCATTTTTTCTTTTCTTTCGCATATTTAATTTAATTTTTTTTTGTTGCAATCTATCTGTGCATATTTACCTAACCCATAATTCTAACTCTTATATAATTCTTTGTTTATATCACTCTAACATTTATTTTTCTCTTTTTTCTCCTCTCTCTATTATTTTCTCTAATTTATACACCATTTGCTATTCACAGGAACAAAAAAATGAAAAGGCAAAAAAGTGTGATTAATCGTATTAAAACACCATTAGCTATACACTTATACTAGAATAGTTTTTCTCATGTTCTTTTTATTTCTTTTTGTACTTATCTTCAAATATTTTAAAGTATATATGTGCAAGCGTACCCACACATGCATGCCCACACATAAATTAAATCAGTATAAATATAGGATATATATATTTCTAAAAACATTATTTAGCAAATGAAACTAAAATATTTTATCACAATTTAAAAAACAATTGTGAGTATTTTTTTCCCCTTCTTTTATAAGTAGAGAATATTGAAACTGTAACAATAGTGTTGATATCTAAGTATTATAAGTACATAATATTTATTTCCTTCTTTTATAAGTTGAGAATATTGATACTTTAACAATAGTGTTGATATCTAAGTATTGTAAGTGGAGAATAATTTTTTTCTTCTTTTATAAGCAGAGAATATTGATACTTTAACATTCATATATATCACAATGTCTCTTGCTACACTAATAATTTTCAGATATGAAAAAATTAATTAAACACATTACCTATAATTTAAAACTTGTGAGGAAAGTATTATGGCAATAATACTTTTCCCACATATTTTTGTGTGACTCTAAAAAATACATTTGCTTTTGTTTTTATTTTAATTAATATTTTTTTTTTAATTTTATCATTTTAATATTAAATTTTTTTATTGAGTTATCTCACTCTTAAGATATGGATTGCAGGTTTGGGGAATTAACCTAGTTAGCTGGGGTTTTATTCCTTTTCATTTAATTTTATTATTCAATATTAGTTTTAATTAAAAATTAGATTTCATGATTTATTTTATTTATTTTCTATTAGGTTAATCTAGTCTCATTACCCAAGAATAGTTCTTAATAGATTAATCTCGAGTTGACTCAGGTTGGTTTTTTTTTTTTATATTTTTTGTTTAATTGAATTTCTTTTAAATTTTATTATTGAGTATTAAGTCGGTTGAAATTTGAGTTTTTATAATTTATTTTGATTTCTTTTCTATTAGGCTATCTTGGTCTTATAATTAAGGTCGTGAGTTTTGGTATTTTAACCCTAGTTAAATCAAGTTGTTATTTTTTTTATTTTCTTTCAAAAGATTATCTTGGTCTTATGTCCTTCAATATTATATTTGTTTTTTTATTGGGTTGTCTATGTCTTGTGATCTAAGTTGTATGTTTGATAAATTAATCTAGTTAACTCAGTTTTTTATAACTAACTTTTTTCTTAATTTTATTATTTAATATTGTATTTGATTGAGAATTAAGCTTCATTATTTATTTTGATTTGATTTTTATGGGATTATTTCAACCTAATAACTCGGGAATAATACTTAACGGTTAACATATATTGACTTAGATCATTTTTTAACTAAATTTTTTATAAATTTTATCATTTAACATTAGGTCTGATAGAATCGATTAACAATTAAGTTTTATAATTTATTTTCATTTACTTTTTATGGGATTATATCAATTTTATGACTAGATTTGTAGATTTGATAAATTAATCTAAATTAAATCAATTTTTTTAAGATTATCTTAAATAAAAAATTAAGAAATCAATTTTTTTTTTTATTTAAGGTATGAATTTGACCACTTGAATTGCATCATTTTTTTTTACAGGCAAATTCTATCCTTCCGTACAGTTCAATGGCAAGCTTGGGTTGTGTTTTTGGGGCATGAGATTTGCTTACATTTTGATCATCAATGCAGACTGCAGGATGTCACTGTCATAAAAAGCTAAATTTGCATTTTTGTGAAAGAAATCAGATTTTTTGAAACATTTGTTTGTAGAATGTGCTGGATTAATTAATATTTTATTAATTGATTTATTAATCAGATATTTTAATCTGGAATACTTTCAAGCTAAGATTATATAAATGTAATTGTTGATAAATTTATAACTTTTTTTTTCTTTCATAAAAGACAATAAAGATGAAATGCTTTCTATCATAATAGGGTATTACCTGTCTTTTTTTAATGTTGTCTATGCTCTTGAACTTACAAATGCTCAAATATAAATAAATCACTTGTTTTCCTATTTGTTTTTTGGGACAATAAAAAGTTTTTTTAAAAAATATTATTAATTCCCTTAGCATAACTTCCTAGCAAGGCAAAGAATTTTGAAACTCAAAAGAAAAGGGAAAGGAAGACCATGTTGCCATTTATTTTATTTTATTTTTTTTCTTAATATTTAAACACTTGTATATATCAAAGTATCTCATTGTATCACTATTTATTAGACTTAAAAAGTGAATTAAAAACACTCATATATATGCACGCATCCACATATAAACTAAATCAATAAAATTATTTATTATGGATTAAATTTTATAATATTTTTTTATTTTTTTAAAGTTATCTTAATCTTATAAACTGAATTATAAATTTGATAAGTTAATTTATTTTATTTTTTTAAGTTTATTTTTTAATTGATTTTGTTTTTAATTTCTTCCTTTAACTTTGAGTGAATAAGAAACACACATTTATGAAATTTTATTTAATAGCAAATCTGGGATTGATTGTTTTAGTTTGAAATCTTTCTCACAAAATTTAGCTAAAATTTAAAATTTTTGTCTCATTATTGAAAAAGGTTATTATTATTATAACCCAATTTTTTAATTTAAAAAAATAAAAAAACAAAAAAAAATGAATGGATAAAAAAATAATTTGAGAATTGGATTAAGGCAATACAAATTAAAAATTTGAGGATTAATAATGATGGAATTATAAATTTAAACTTGAGGATTAATAATGATGGAATTATAAATTTTGCAGTCAACCTGGTAAAAAAAATAGAAGAATTAACAATTTTAGGGATTTAATTAAACTTTGATTTAATTAATTAATGCATCAAAGTTTGGGGTTGATTTGGGTCACAATTACAAGCAATTAAAGTTCAAGGAGCAAAGTAAATAGACATTGATACTATAGGAGGATTAATTGATTTTTTCAGGGGTAATTGTAATTGAATTAAAAGTTAAAAAGTCAATTGAGGAGTTAATTGATTAAATTAAAAACCAAGTACTGATTTGTAAATGGCTTTGAAATTTAGTTCAATTGCAATTTGATCCAGGGGTAACATTAAGAATAAAAGAGATTTTTCTTGATAGGGACCCAATTGTTAAGTATCAGAAGTTTAGAGGTCAAATTGAAAATAATCATTTCAGGTGAAACGGTGTCATTTTAAGCACTGTTCATCGTCTTTTCATTCTGAATGCCGGATGAACAGGAAACACAACCACAAAAATCACGGACCACGCTGCCAATATCCCCACCCACACGATGATGAATCTCCGAGTGAACGTGAGTCGCAGAAGTTTTTGTTCGCAACGTGCAGGTTGCCCATGATCGTGATTGCTGGGGACAAGTTGAGTGCATTCTCTGGCCTTATAAAGGCCAGAGAAAGGAACAGAAATAGGAGGGGCACATGACAGAGAGAACCAGGGAGAATATAGACACTGGAACAACACGGGAAGCACATAAAGATCATCGCGATGTGGGTAAGACAATTATTATTATTATTGAAAATGATGATGCGATGATATTAATTACTAATAACTATCCACTTAGATAAATTAATTATTCGATACTAAGTAATAATTTTATCTCTTTTTTTTTTTCTCGACCATTATGTGACCTATATGTATTATCAAATTGTTTCAAAACAATCCCAAATTGATTTGAACTTTGCAATCAATTTCTTGTTTACCCACCTGTGCTGTTTCTTCTTTCTCTATCCAATTTGCGCCAACATCATTGTGTCCAATTCGTGGTTGCAGTAAATGGTCGTAGGCACAGAGAGTTTTAAGACGACAGAAGAGGTCCTGAACGACAGTAAAGTACTGCAGTCTCTACAGGCCCATTTTTTATACGAATGTGATAAATAAAAATAAAGTTTTTAATTAGAATATCTATGTTTAATATGCAGTACGATTGCGATAAAGTCCATCACGAACTCGAGAGTCCAGAACATAATATGGGAATTATGATACAGGGAAAAAAAAAAAAACCCTTGAAAATAAAGACAACAGTGACAAAACAGCCAAAGACACAATTACATGGGGATTATGTCTATCGCAACTAGCTCGTAACCCGTAAGACTCTGAGCCTTGGGCTTCTTTGAGGCGAAAACAACCTAAACATTAATACCTTGTAATAGTGTGAAGTATTTTTTATTAAAAAATATATTAAAATAATTTTTTTTATTTTAAATAAAAAATTTAAAATATTACTTACATTGCGTTTCCAAACACCACAGAAGCTCAAACCAATGAGAGACGATGATGGCAGCCCTAAGGAAGGTTCCAGAACTGCGTATGTGCCCGTGATGAATACGATAATCACTGTCCCCATACCCATCATGGTAAACAACGTGGCAACCCCAAATAATATCCTAGTGGTTTTCTTGTCTCTCTCCTCGTCCTTGACCGTTTCCAAACCTTGAATCTGCGAAATCAAAAAGTGAATGAAGACAGTAAAAATTGAGAGTTCGCAAAAAAATTATTTTTTATTAAAAATTATTTTTTAAAATATTTTTATATCATTTTAATGTATTAATTTTAAAAATAATTTTAAAATTTAAATATTATTATTTTAATATAAAAAATACTTTAAAAAACAACCACAAGTATACCACTCAACAATCATCAAATATGATCAATACTATAAAAGCAGCTTTCTTTAACTAGAATTGCAGTGCTCTGACATGACAAAGCATCCCCTTTCTCTTTATTTTTCTAATCATTCCGTCTTCTCAAAACCTTGTGCCTGCGGCCAAGCGGTCCACTGCCAACATCTTCAAGGGATTCTAGGATCTCTTCCTGCAAAAAGTTTAGGGTAAAATATCGTAGATATCCATCATTTTTAGCTATTTAACAAATATCATACATCAACTTCATTGATTGAAATTAAAATAACTTGATTGCAATGCTTTACATTAGCCCAACTATCCCCGAGAAGAAACAAAAGGAAAACTAAGATATGGTCTTAATTTTATATACCATTAATTTTACATCATTTCATTCTAAAATTAATTTCCTCGGAGGGGTAATATTCCAATATATTATTGTTTATTGTTACTCTCCTTAATTAGTTGCTTGTAAGATTATGTTAAGATTGCATTTTTTTCATTCATTTGCCCTATATTTCGTTTTTTTATTGAATAATATTATTATCACAACAGTTAATTCATAGAGGATTAATTACCTGTATCTCTCCAAAATCTCCTACATAAATGTCGTCGACGCTTAGCTTTCGCTTATTAAGACCATATATGTCCCCTTCATCTAAAACCAGTATCCATTGCTTCTGCTGGTGCGCTAAAGCAGCAATTAGATGGAACGGCGTGTTTCCTTTGTCATCCTTCTTCGTTCCAAGTATTGCAAGTTCAGGAATTTTATTTGATAGAAAAATTATAATTGATTATTTCACTAGTAAATCTAATCTTTTACATCCTTAAATGAACCTAAACACTAAGTACACATGGAAAAAGAAGCTCAAACCAAAAAGACAGATGGTGATGGCAAGCCCCAAGAAAGGTTCTAGAATTGCGTATATGTCTATGATGAATGCGATAATTATTGTTCCCATGCCAATCATGACAACCCCAAATAATCTTAGAGTGGTTTTCTAATTAATTTCTTCGCCCTTATTCATTTCTAAACCTTGAATCAATGCCGTCAAAAAATTGATAAAGACCGCAGAAATAGAGAGCACCATTAACATTGCATCTGATATGACAAATACTATAAATACAGCCTTTTTAGCTAGAATTGCAGTGCCTTGATCGCCCTTGTAACCGCCAAGTAGGGTGAATGCTGCTGCAAATATTACTTAGATATAACTAGGTTTAAGAGGACATATAGTCATGCTATTCTAAAGTAGACGCTTAAAACAGAGATAACAAGAGATTTAAAGGTTGGTCAAGCTCAAAATTTAACAAGAGATTTTACAAGTTGTTTTCTTGTGGAAAGTTGTTCCGTCATTCAATGGAATGCTAGATCTTCCAAAATTAGGCTAAAAAATTGCTACTTAGGCCAATTTTGTTTTTTATTTTTTCTAGATTTATTATTTTATTTAAGATTTTATGTTAATTTTCTTTATGCTTTTGAATTCTAATTTTTTTTTCTTATAGAGATATGATTTTATCTATTTAAAATTAGTAAATATTTATTTTTCAAAAAATTAAACTGTAAATTTAAAATGCAATCCATTTGGCTTGTCAAAATTCTATTATTTGGGGGGGGGGGGGGGGGGGGGGGGGGGGGTTCTAATATCTGTTTTAGTTTTCTTTGTTTTTTATCCAGTAAACGAAGTTATTGCTATTAAAATATATGTTTTGTATATGAAATTAAAAATAATTAATATGAAAAGAGAATTTTCTAAAACAATAAGAATTTAAAACAAATACATCAGAGTTTTATTTGATAGAAAATTTAGAATAGATTGTTTCACCAGGATGTCTTCTCTTTACAATCCTTGTAAATGAACCTAAACACTAAACACACAAGGAAGAAGAAGCTCAAACCAATGAGACAGATGGTGATGGCAATTCCCAAGAAAGGTTCTAGAACTGCGTATGTACCTGTGATGAATGTGATAATCATCGTCCCCATGGCAATCATAGTCAATAACGTGGCAGCCAAAAATAATGTTATAGTGGTATCCTCATCTATCACTTCTCTCTTAACCCATTCCAAACCTTGAATCAGCGAAATCAAAAAGTGGATAAAAACAGCAAAAATAGAGAGCACCATTGACATTGCATCAGATATGACAAATATTATAAAAGCAGCTTTTTTAGCAAGAATTGCAGTGCCTTCATTTGGACCTTGGTCGCTCTTGTAACCACCAGGTAGGGTGAATGCTGCTGCAAATGTTACCGTTGCTATCAGCGCCGCAACAACTAGATGAGACTCTCTTGCTTTACTCAAAGCTTCCTCAAACTCTTTGTTTCTCTTATCATTCTGTTCATTCAAAACCTTGAGCTGGCTGCCAAGCGGTCCATTGCCAACATCTTCAAGGGATTCTAGGATCTCTTTCTGAAAAATAGTTAGGGAAAACTATCGTAGATATCCATCATTTTTAGCCATTTAACAAATATCATATATCAACTTCTGGGCCTTTGTTTTTGTTTCCACAACTAGCTAGTTTGTTTGCAATCAAATCCTTCTTGTTACTCTATATATTAGCAGGTAACAAAAACTAATTTCGTTGACACTAAACCGCATGCTTTACATTAGCCCAACTATCCCCAAAAGGAAAACTAAGATATGGTCTTAATTTTATATACCATTAATTTTACATCATTTCATTCTAAAATTAATTTCCTCGGAGGGGTAATATTCCAATATATTATTGTTTATTGCTACTCTCCTTAATTGCTTGTAGATTATGTTAAGTTTCTATTTGATTTTTTAACTATAATTTTCAGATTTTTTTAATTGTAATTTTTTTCTTTCATTTGTACTTGTTTTTGTTTTTTTATTAACAATATATGTTTTTTAAGCAGTTACATGCGATCCATATGCATAATCTGGTATTAAGTTAACAACATTATTAAGTTATTCATATGGCTTCACTTTTATATTTAGTATTGCAGTGTAAATAGTTTTCAAAAATATTTAGTATTGCAGGGTGATAGTTTTTAAAAGTGTTTTCAGTTTATCAAAATTATATATAAAAAAAATAATATTAAAATATTAATTTATTTTTTAAAAAATACAATACAGAAGATACTCCTAACATGACACCGGTTACAAAGTGATCCCAACAGGCAATAATACAGTGAAACTGAACAAAAGTTATATGAACCCATTTGATGGATATGATTTAATTATATTCAAAACCCAAATAGAGAAATCAAGAAATTGATTCATATATATATATATATATATATGTAGTGTGTGTGTGTGTGTGTGTGTTGGGGGGGTTGTTTAATGTATGCATTAATTATCACAACAGTTAATTCGGATTGATTACCTGTATCTCTGCAAAATTTCCTTCAAAAATGTCGCCGACGCTTAGCTCTCGCTTATTAAGACCATATATCTGCATTTCACTAAAACTATATTTATGAAATACACGTAACCGGTCATTCTGCTTGCGCGCAAAAGCAGCAAGTAGATGGATGGGCGTGTTTCCTTTGTCATCCTTCTTCGTTTTAAGTCTTGCAAGTTCAGGAATATTCTCCATACATTCCTCGAATGCTTTTTTATCTTTACTTGCCACAGCGTAGTGAAGGGCATTCCAACCTCTGTTATCAACTAGCTCACAACAAGCTGGACATCCAGAAACAATCTCTTTCATTGCGTTTACATGTCCTTGAATGGCTGCAATGTGAAGAGCTGTTCTCTTCTTCTCTGTTTCAGCAATGTAGGCCGCGGACGCATCATATTCTAGTAATACTTTCAGTACACGAGGAGACCGGACTTGCACTATACGAGGAGACCAGTCATAACAAGCAGCGTGGTGAAGGGGTGACCAGCCATTGTCATCGGTTGTTTGCGTCAACTTCTTTTCTTTTTCTAACAATTTTCTTGCTGTCTCTGAAACCAACAAAACAAGGAATAAAAGTTATCCTTCATGAACAACAGAGATTTCACTTTTGCCCCGTTTAATAATTTCTTTTAGAAAACTAGTTTCTTGAAAAATATTTTTTTAGAAAATAAATTATTTTTCAATGTTTTGTAGCATCATAAAAAATAAGTTAAAAAATATTTTTTAGTATTTGGTTATGTCATAAAAAATAAGTTAAAAAAAATTATTAATATTTTTTTCAAATTTATTAAAATAATAAGGACAAAATCTTACAAATTAAAAAGTTGAATAAGAATAAAATTGAAAAAAAATCTAATTTTATAAATGATCTCAAATAAAATAAATAACAATTAAGATAATGAAGATCAAATCTAACAAATAAAAAAGTTAAAAAATAATAAAATTAAAAAAATTATAATTTCATAAATTATTTCAAATAAAATAAATAACAATAAAAAAAAAGAACTAAATCTTATAGATAAAAAATCAATTAACGATAAGAGAAAAACAAATAACAATGATAAAAATAAGAATCAAAGTTGATATAAAAATTAAATTAAATCAAATTTTAAAGGATGAAATTAAAAAAAAAAGATTCAAAATAAAATATATAGCAATAAAAAAATTGAGGACCAAATTTGATATAATAAGTAAATAATATAATATTTTTAAATTTTTAACAACTTATGAAAAGCGTTTCTCACCTAAAATAAAAAAATCATTTTCTTAGAAATTAAATTAAATTTTTCTTTAATTAAAAAATGCTTTTCATTGAGTAATATTTTTAATAATAATTAAACAAAAATTTTTTTAGAAATAATTTAAAAAAAATTAATTTCATGAAATATATGTAACTTATATATCCAATACTTAAACTCACAAAGTTTCTTTAATAATAATAATAATAAAAGCTAATTATGAAGCAAACACGGATATATAAAATCAAATATACGTGGATTTTAAATTATAGTTTACACTATTATATATAAATTATTTAATTCTCCAGACTTGAGCACAAAATTCTACCATGATCTCCCGACGCGCTTGCAGCGTGTAGAGTAGTTCTACCATTAGGGCCGCCATAGTCCACTGAAATGCAATTTCCTAAGATTCCATCGACTACCTTTCCGTGTTCTTGGATTCTCCACCACGGGAAAATGGAAGCAGCAATATAAAGTGGAGTTTCTCCATGAACATTGGCGGAATATGAAAACTCAGGGTCCTCTTTAGTCAATATTTCCACCACATGGCGCCGCCTATGTCGAGCTGCCTCGTGCAACGCTGTATCTTGCTCTTCATTGGTCATCCTCAACATCTTTTTTGCTTCTGTTACTCCGCTCTCTGGATCAGTGGGTAGAGCTCTTGCGCGGTCAATGAGGACCTTTACCACACTGGAATGGCCATATCTTGCTGCCAAATGGAGTGGGATTTCACCTTTCTTATTGGCTTGGAATAACAGTGGTGGACACATTTCAAGAATTTTATCAACAAAATCAGTGGATTCCGGTTCACTGCTTTGGTTTCCTAAGTAGACATGAAGAATGGTGTTCTCGTCGTGGAGTCAATACCTGATTGAGGCTATGCATTTTCTCAAAGGGATCGATATTGCCTTCTTCCGCAGCTTTGCACAAGACAGGATCCATATAGGGATCGATGCTATTCATTTTCTCAGAAGAATCCATTTTGTAGCTTAGAGAACTCACAAAATGAAATGTAAACAAATAAAGGGGAGGAGAAATCGCTGTGGCTCAAAGGTTAGCGGTTACACTCCTCAACTGATCACAAGCTGCTGCTTTATTTGGTCTGTTGCTTCTCTGGAGATGGACAGGATATTTATTGAGGTTCGATTTTTAAATGTTATTTATTTGGAAATATATTACAAAAATAATTATTTGTTTTTTAAAATTATTTTTATATCATTACATTAAAATTATTTAAAAATAAAAAAACAAATTAATTTAAAAAAAAAAATTCAAAAACATTTTTACGTTGTGAGCAAGAAGATACAAATTCAAAGACAAGGTGACACAAGAAACAGAATCAAATGTGCCCCAACGCCAAGAGAAAGGAAATATCCACCACCCCTTCTTCCTAGTCTACACTGTCACCACCTTAATTATACCAACTGTAACAATGTATTTTAATTTTGAAGTGTTTCGACTTTCGAGGTTGTACTATTACAAGTTACTGCATTAATTAGCTACTAAACAAAATTGGATGAGACCTTGTGAATGATTGATATATATGGTTTTTTTTTTAAATGTTTTTTTTAATATATTAAAATAATATTTTTAAAATTTTTTTATTTTTAAAATTAATATATCAAAACTATTGAAAAACACTAAAATACATATAAATTTAATTTATTTTTAAAAAACACTTTTAAAAATATATAAAAACAATGAAAATATATTTTCTAGAATTATTGAATATAATATAGTTTTAAAGACATATATGAGAATGTGATAAAAATTATTTTTTAAAAAATTATTTGTTTAAAAATATTTTAAATTTTTTTATTTTAAATTTTTTAATTTTAATATTAATATATCAAAATAATTTAAAAATATTAAATATAATTTAATTTCAAACTAAAAAAAATTTAAAAACATGTTTCACATCAAAAACCCAGCTCTAACCATAAGAAAAACATCCAATTTTACTCGAAATATGCTGAAGACAGAAAAGAGGCAAGTGGGGCAGAGAAATTGACCACGCCGAAGACAAGCTAGGACAATCAGAATAATGAGTATGAATTTTTTACTCGAAATATATTAAAATAAATCTTTTTATTTTTTAAAATTATTTTTATATTAAAATAAAAATATCTAAAAATAAAAAAAAATATTAATTTAAAATTAAATTTTTTATTTTTAAAAAATATTTTTATATTTTTAAAATTTAAAAAAAAACAAAGCCGATAAAAAAAAAAAAGTTTCCACGAAGGTTGTCTTTATTTTTAAAAAATATTTTTAAAATTTAAAAAGAAACAAAGCCGAAAAAAAAAAAGTTTCCACGAAGGTTGTCAGCCACATTTAAATTTTAGACTTGGATCCAAGGCAAGAACTAAAGGAACTGTTTTATGAATATACAGCAAGTATCGATTTTTGGTGCAGATTTTTCTGCCACTTTGAATTTAAGAATATACTCGGCTGAATTACCTCTGAATTTATTGTAATAGATCATCCAACTTTGAAAGAAAAAAGGCTAAATAAATATATAAAATCAAATAAGATATGGCACTGAAAACCTCAATTTTTTCACTCATTGTAGATCATCATGCAATTATTCTAGCCCTTTCTTTCCTCAGCAGACCACATATGGATCAAATTTTATAGCATTGTGTGTTTCAATTCTTTGAGCTTGGAACCACCTCAACCTGCCATAAAAGGAAAGCTGCCTTCTCTTAAAATGCCACTGTGTGCTTAAAATGTCTTTTGCCTTGCTACGGAGTTACATGTGATTCATATGCATAATCTGTTATTGTAGATGAAAAACTTAACAAAATCAATAAAATGACTTCATTCCAAATAAAAATAGATTGTTAAGTTATTCATGACTTCTTCCCTGTTTCAGCAATGTAGGCAGCGGACGCATCATATTCTAGTAATACTTGCACTACTCGAGGACAACAGATGTTATAGGCAGCGTAGTGAAGTAGCAAATATTCCATTTCAATTTCAATGTAAAATGTAAATAATTGTATCTCATATTAGGGGAGAAAAGAAATTTTTATCTTTTTATCATTAGAAAATAGAATGGAAATCTTCACCTAATATTTTGATCACTAGAAACTTTAATTAGTTTCAGAGATTGGATACGAGGACTGATTCTATAAAAAAAAGATATTAGCACTTCAAATACGCCTTACTAAGATAAGTTGTATTGTTTAATTGTTTGATAAAAAGCTAAAATGTTATCTTATTTCTAGTTAGTAGTCTCTCTATGGTATAGGAAAAGTCCTCCTCAATAAGAAGATCTTTATCTTATTGGGTAAAAAAATTTAATTGTTCTACCGTCTATATGAAAACTATATTTTTAATATCAGGAATACGTTTTACGTATAAATTTGTAATCTCAGATACTAAAAGAAGACAAAAAGATTTTTTTAAAATCTTTGAAATATTGACCTAGTTCTCATGGCTAAAATAAATTTGTTGTAAAACCAAAGTGCATGCTAATACATATATATTTTTTAAAATTTCCTTTGTTGTATAAAAATATGATGTGATGATTTTTTTCTTTTATTTTGGAGAGACTAGGCCGTATGCATGAAAATAAAATATTTTTTTATTTTATTTTTTGATGTCTTGATGAAAACCGAGTATTTTAATACTAGATTTATATCCTTACAATATACAAATACAAACTAGTATTAAACAATTTTGATAAAAATATGCAAGAAAATCAACAAAATTTTTTAAAGAATTTTTCAGAAATTTTTTCCTTTAATTTTTTTATATGTCTATATATATAAATAATACAAAAATAGCATAATATATAATATATAATATTAGGTGGGCTAGACTGGGCCAGCCAAAATAACTGGGTCGGACTCAGCCCCAAAATGGTTGAGCCGATCTCGGCCCAATAGTTCTCTTTCTTTTTAGTTTGGGCCAGACCCGGCCCAAAAAGCAAAGCTGGGCCAGAATCAGTCTGGCCCACAAAACATCAGGGCTGGGCCAGAACCAGCCTAACCCAACGAAGGAAACCCATCAGTGATGGGTTAGAACCAGCCTAGCCTAGCATAAAAAAACCAATGGGGAGGAATTATTTTCCCCTTCCCATCCTCTTACATGTAGGAGGAAACACAAGTAACAAAAGAAATGAGGGGGGAAGAAGAGTATACCTGGCGTGGAGGAGGCGGTGGCGGTGTTGTGGATCACGAACGTCGACTAATTGCTTCGCTGGCAGTGCTGCGGTGAAGGCCGGTGGCAGTGTTGTGGCTCATGGATGGTGACTCCCAAGCAATGCTACTGTTTCAAGCGGCGGAGAGGTTACTGCTCTTCCCTTCTCCTCCGTTTCCTTTCTTTTTCTTTTGTTTTTCAATGGTTTTCCTTTATCCTTTTCGGTTTGTTTTTAAATTTCCTACCATGTTTCAAGCTTTTCCTTCCCCTCCCTATATTTCGGTTCCTTTTTTCTCTCTTCGGTTCGTTCTCTCCGTTCCCTCTTTCTCTTTTTGGTTCCTCCTTTTTTTTTTCTTCTCTTCTCTCTGTTCCCTCTTTCTCTTCTCAGTTCCTCCTCTACCCCCTGTGCTGGCGTTGGATGCTATTTATAGAGCCAAGGGAGCGGGGTTCTTTATTGTTGTGCATGGGGAGTAGGGCAGCACTGGTTGGTTGGCCAAGGGGCGCGGCTGGCAAGGTGCGGCTCCTCTAGTTTCTCATTATCAAAAGGCGTGGGGCTACGGGTCTTGGCAAAGCATGTGGGAAGAGAGAGGCAGCAAAATTACAAAAGAAAAAGACAAATTTTCTTCCTTCCCCTGCTAAACGTCCAGGGGAAGAAGAAAGAGGAACAGTGACGTTCAAAACATCATCGTTTTGTTCTTTTTTTTTTTCTTTTTTTTAAACATGAAACAACATCGTTTTGGACAAAACACATCATTTCATTTAAATAAAAAAGGTGCTGAAACGCGTTAATTTTCAAATTAGCCTTCAATTTATCTTTTGTTTTATTAAATCCTCAAATGTAATTTTGATTTTAAGAATTAATTCAATTGCATCCCTGCCAACTTCAATCGGCAGCCCCATAGTTGGCTGCCCTTTTCACTTTGGTCCCTGTTCTCTGATTTATGCAATTTAACCTACAATTGATCAATAAACATTTAATTTCTTCAATTTAGCCCCTGATTTGGTTTATTACAGCCTCTCTATTTACACGTCTTTTCCATTTTGGTTCTTGGTTTCGGATTTCCTCAATTAAGTCTTTAATTGGCCATTAAACTTAATATTTATGTATTTCAGCCCCTGTTTTGACCAAATCAACTCTAAAAAATTATAATCTGACCCAGAACTTTAATTTCTTCCAATTAAAGCCCAAATTAACTTAAAAATCCATTTTTCTTGCAATCAAACCCTTTATAAATTCAATTAAACCTTCAATAAAATCCAATTAAGTACATAAACATCCAATTTTGGACTTTTCTCCTTAAATTTAAATTTTCTTTTCCAACAGGGCTCTCATCATTCAAGAATATACTATCAAAATTTCAATCTTTGTATTTTTATTCTCCTTAATCAATTTTTCTAACCATTTTTTGACCGCTCTAGCCTCCTATTATTTTTCTAATTTCTTCTGGTTATATATTTATATTTTTTTTATTTTTATGTGGGGACCCAAAAATGGGTTACAACACTTTTAATATTAGTTTCTTTTATTGGATTATCTTACTCTTATGACATGGATTGCAGGTTTGGCGGATTAACCTAGTTGGCTGAGTTTTTATTCCATCTTATTTTTTTTTTAATTTTATCATTCAATATTAGTTTAATTGAGAATTGGGCTTTATGATATGTTTTATTTGCTCTCTATTAGATTAATTCAGTCTCATGACCTGATTGTGTTCAATGAATTAATGTTGAGTTAACTCAAGTTATTTTTTGTGTCTTTTTGTTTAATTGAACTTCTTTCCAAATTTATCATTGAATATCAAATGAAACCGATTCACTTTCTAAAGTTTGAAATAAATCTGATAAATCTTTAAAACATTTAAATCTAGTCCCTCAAATCAAGACTTGAAAAACTTGGGCTGGAATCCTTTTTGCAATAATATTCTCTACTTTTCCACTAAATGTTCAAATAGGAATATAATGAGCTTATGATATCGAAATCAAGGA